AGACCAACCATCCAAACCCTGATCAGCCAGAAACCAAAACCCAATGTTTATTAAATTCCTAAACTTATGCCAAACATTCAAATTAAACCCAATCCAAAACCCAGGGAAGTCTCAAGACACAGGGAAACAACCTCTTATGAAGACTTAGATAATAATTTTCCATTTAATAGTGGTCAAAATGGGCATCTCTAAGTTAGAATGCATGTGGCCCAGTATAACAGAATCATTTGGGTTTTTCAAGTCATAAGTTGAGCTATATTTATCCGAATTGGACACAAGAGGATGGCTGAGAAAGCTAAGAAGTAGACCTACAAACTTTCGATGAAGAACCTCAAACAACAAATGGAAAACAAAAAAGGAGTGGAAAAAATATCCTTAACTCAACCCAATAGACACAATTTTCCCCAAATTCAGGCTTGCTTTAAACCATGAAAGGACAAGAGTTACATGGTAAGAGATTCTACCACATACAAATACTTCAGCAAACATCACCCAAGAGGCAATGTGATGCAAACCAAATAGTTAACAAATCATCAATTTCATACAAAATCCCAAATACATATATGAAAATAGTAATAAATTGCACAAAATCAAAAATTTAAAGTAAGGTAAAGTGTGTTTATGAACACTAACCTTAAAAAATAAGCTTTAGCGAGTTAAATTAAAGCTTTCTAAGCCTAAATTTGCCTTTACTACATGGTAGGGAAGGTTTCAACCCACCTTTGGCTTAAGTAGAGAATCTCCAAATTTCTTGAAAATAATCACCGCACACATCACTTCTCAAGCTTAATTCTCTAAAATTAATTACTTAAATCAAGTTGGGTGGGTTCAATTTGGTGGATTTAAACAAGTAAGAAGTGAAGAAAAACAAAGAAAGAAGAAGAAGAGGAAGTTGGCGTTGAAGAGAAATAAGAAAAAAAGAGAAAAAGTGGTTGCTCATAAATTGGAAAGTGACCTTATAAAGTGATCAAAAGGTTTTATTTTGGTCTTTTTCCCATAAATTGAATGGCTAGGATTGGTCAATATAGTAAATAATTAATGGCTACAAAAAATATTTTCCAATTTAAATTCCTTCAAAATATTTATCTCCACAAAATTCTTAAAATTTACTCCATAAAAATAATTCTTAATTCCTTAATTTAATTACACCAAAATAATTTACTTATTTACTAATTATTTAAATTCTCCAAAAATATTCAACTACTTACTCTCGGAACCTATAAAAATTCAATGTATGCGTACTCCAAAATATTAAAATAAAATATAGAAACATAAATAGTAATTTTTTTCGAAACCAAAATAATAACCCTGATTTCCCGGACCGGAGACTGGTAGTACTATTCACAGACCGGTGGTACTATTCATAGACTGATAAATCACTATCCATCCATAGTTAATTGTACTCAATATCTACCTCGGGTCTAATTAAAATATTATGCCTCTCTCTGTAGTACCATTCATGACCCGATAAAATAATACCATATAAGATTCAAAAATTTTTGGGGCGTTACATTTTCCAGGACTGCAAACAGTCCGGTCGGACCGGACGCCATTTAGAAAGTTCACCGAAAGTATGCCAATATGGTACTTGAAACGTTCGGAAAATTACGAGGATCGCAGAACTGGTCCCGGAATATTTTTTGTAAGTCATTTTGTTTACTAAGTAATTATACTAAGTAAGTTAAAAAAGAAAATAAAATGTATAATATTATTTCAATTTATTCATTACTAATTTATTTTAGTCATTTTTTTTAGTTTAAATAATTGTATTTCTTAAAATTGGTCATTTCTTTACTTAATTATGTATTTCTTATATTTATTGCAATTGATATTTACTAAGTAGTTTTTAATTTTTTATTTAGTAAACCACAAACACTGCAATTAACACTACAAACACTATAATTACACTAACAATTGCATTCAGAATGGACAAAAAAAACAAAACAATAATAACTACAAAAAAACGAAATACATTCACATAAAAAACGAAATCCACAAAAAAAAACCAAAAAAAAAAAGACAGCAAGAGGCGTACCTAACCAGGCGAACACGAATGAAGGAGGAAAAATCTCAGTAGACAAGGGCTTCTCCTGCGATTGGCGCTGCAAGAGAGCGGAGGAGGAGGTGGCTGGGCTGGGAATGGCTGCGACAGAGAGGAGAAGGAGAAGGAGAAGGAAGGAGGAGAGCTCGCTCGCGCAAGGCGACCAAGGGCTTATAAAGCCCTATTTTTTTGCGACCGCCCTATTTTTTTGCGACCGATTAAAAAGTCGGTCGTAATTTTTAATCATGTGATAAAAATTGCAACCGACTTGCGACCAACACAATCGATAGCAAAACTGTTGGTTGCAAATCGGTTGCAGAACAAAAGCTAAATTTGGCACTGAACTGCAGCAGCAATTTTGCGACAGGCTTTTAAACGGTCTCAAATCCTTCGTAGAATCGGTCGCAAATTCATCACAATGGGGCTGCAAAATGAAAACCAAACTGGCAGGAATTATTGGCACTAGAATTAGCAACAGATATTATATCGGTCGCAAATCCCTCGCAAAATCTGTCGCCGTTTGGTCGCAAATCCTTCGGTAGATATTTAACCTCCCAATCATTGCAATTGGTCGCAAGATCATCGCAATATTGCGACCAATGTGTGTCGGTCGCAAAAATCGATCGTAAAAGCAGGTTTTTTTTGTAGTGTATGATCACATTGACAATCACACAAATAGCATAATAACAGTACTCACAATTATTAACAACTTCACATAATCACATCACGTGAAAATTGGTCCGTGGTGTCACCAAAATCCCCGATGAGCCATCCTCCCACATGGCCCATCCTCTCATGATGTGTGCACCAGGGAGCTAATCCCTCATATATGGCTAACCGGTCTCAACCTCACTTGACCAGCCCTCTCATCATTTTTTATACTCTCTTTTCTTTATCATACCAACGGGAGGCCACCCTGTGGTTTTCCATATCATCCACCCTGTGGTTTTCCATATCATCCATATTTATCATCAGGTGCACACGGGACGCCGATCTCCCCACACGTGGCTGACGGTTGCATTCCATATTTTCATCATTTCCAGGACCGTCTTCACAAACCCATGGTGATCCATTTCATCCCAATTCCACACAAACAAGGCATAACATTTTCATAACACAAATAATCAAGCATTGTAATTAAATGCAAGCACATCAAACAATTAAATATCGTGATGCAAGTGCACAATTAGACATTCATTTTGAATTACAATTAGATGAAGGAGTAGATAACAATATAATATAACAATTGATCCTTGGAAAATAAAAAATAAATAAATAATAAAATAATAATAAAGCAAATAAAGAACTTCATTAATATATATCAAGTTAAAGAATTTATCTAAATAAACCTACTAACTTAATTATTAATTATGACTCGCCTAGATTCCATTGATATTCCGGCAAAACCTCCCCTAAAATTTGATATTCCACAATTCAATAATAAATTCTCAAAGCCCATCCATCGGGCAATTCACCTCAGCTCATCCCATCCGCCATAACCATATTCATCAATCATTTGATCGCTCAATTCACACATATATGCACTTAATAATTTCAAAGCAATTAATTAACAAATTGTATTAACATCCGAGCATGTTCCAATGATATTATTAACTGTTCTATAACTAATTACTAAATAACTAAACAATTTATAAATAAAACTTGTTTTGCCAAGTTAAATACATGGTTAAGTTTTTAGTTCTTTGCAAAAACTTGTGAGTTATGGTTAATGCTAAGTGTTAGGGTGTTAGGACTATTCCCATTGTAATAGATTTTGCTCTTGCCCTTAAAAAGAGTTTGATAATGGAGGATTTCAAGATGGTTTCTTGAGGAGAAGATGTAGGCGTGAGCAGTACATAACCACTATAATTTTTGTTGTTGATTTTTGATAGGGCCCGGTAATAAAATTACGAGAATAATCACACAGCAGAAAAATATAAATATGACACACAGATATTTACGTGGTTCACCCTTTAACTGTTTAGGGTTACGTCCACGGAACAAAAACTGAATAATTCTTCCACTATTAAAAAATAGTAGGCTTACAAAGAGAGTAATACAAAATAGTGGCGCTATAGTGGCGCTCAAAAGTGTTTCCCAAAAACACCCTAAATTATCTTCACTATTTTAACTACCCAAGTTTTAGAACCCGTTCTAAAACTCAAAACGCTCTCTTTTTCTCTCTTGTTTTTCTCTGCTTGTGTGTGTTATGAAGCGTTGCGCCATCTCCTATTTATAGGAGAGATGGAAGCGTGATTAGGAGAGGTGGATGCGTGATTAATGCATTCACCCACCAACGTATCACCTACCAAAGAATTTTTCTTCTTTCCTTTTTCAACTGTGTGGGTGTGGGTAGGCACGCCACCACCAACAAATAATTTGTGGGTCCCACTTAGTGGGCACCGCACAACAATTTTTTCATATTCTCCATCTTTATGATATTGCTAGACTTTTCACACTCATATACTTTAAATCTTAATGATATGATGTTATCTTAATTATTCAATCATTCCATGTTTTGATTTGTCGAATCTTTGTAATTAATATTGATTTGAATCTTTGTAATTAATATTGATTTAAATAAAAAATGTTTATGAGTTGCAGGGTTACCTAATTTAGTGAGCTATTTTTAAATAATCTTTATTTTTAGATAATCTTTCTGCTTAAGTAAGTTATATAATTTTAAAATCTGAAAATTATAATATTGTGCTTCTGCTTTACTTGAAAAAATGTCTTTAAAACTCTAAATTTTTATAAATGACAATTCACCCTCTCTTGTATATAGCACATGAGGACCTACACAATAAAATTAAAATACGTGTGAAATGTTACAGTTTATATTATTTTATTATGTATAATTAGTGCAATAACTCTCACATTATTTTATTATGTATAACTAGTGCAAGAACTCGTGACAAAATCAGAAGGTGCTGAAAACGACATGCTTGTGAAATACCATATGGGTTGGGTCGAACCAACAAAACTTGGGGAAATCAAAAAAACAACTGCAATTAATCAAAATTCTCAATTCATTTGGTTTAGGTAGTCACTATTTTGACTTACAGCTAAATTTTTCTCCTATATTTTTGCAGTTTGGAACATAATGGCTTTTAGCACAATTTAGTTAATAAGTTAGTTAATAAGTTCAGTGATCTTCGGTAAATGGATAAACACTCATCAGCTTCTTCTTTCAAATGGAAATCTCCAAATGACAGATTATGTTAGTAAAAAAGCTGCCGTTTTCTCTTTAATACTCAAATGGATTCTTAAGATTGCAATGTTGGCAGCTTTCATTGCTTGGCTTACTGTTGTTTTCATGTATCCGATAGAGTCACTTCAAACATGGTTTAAAAATTGGACTCAAGCCTCTGCTGATTCTTTTCTTGGCTTTACAGGTTAATTAGCTTCTTCTTTTTTTTTTTTTTTTTTTTTTCTTTGGTTAATTAGTTCTAAAATTTTGTATTGCAATTTGCAGGAGGTGTATTTCTGATATTCAACGGGCCACTTATCATTATTGCATTACTTTCTATACCATACCTTACCCTTTGCTCCAGGGAAGAGGAGCTCCAAAAGTATGTTTTTAACAACACACAATTCATTAGGACAAAATTTCCTATGTTTTTATGTTAACTTCATCTTAATTTCTTATGGTATTGGGAGTTAGAATGCAGGGAGAGGGAGTAGGGTTTTCAGTGTGCCACTGTGTTCTGATTCGTTTTTTCTGGGTTTTTTTTCTGGGTTTGAATAGTTACATTGACAAAGATAAAGGGGGCAGGGGGCCTTGTCCCCAAGCTCCCTAATGAAATAGTCTCTACTGCAATGAATCATGAGCCCTAAGGATAGACATTTGGCAAGCAGATATCAAAGCACACTGAGAGTCCTTTAACTCCCAACCTGCACCTGCACCTGCAAATGTAGATTTATGCTTGAAAGATGCTTTTGTACTGCATTATAAAAATCCCACAGCAAGCCTTTTCAATAAAACAGCTCGAGCATTTCCATTCACATTAGATTTGACCTGTAAAACCTAGGCCTGCTACCAAGAACAAAACTAGGTAAAACCTATATTTAAGGCAAAAGCAGCAGATGATCTACAATTCTGCCAAACAATTGAGTTCCTATGCTTCCATAGTATCGGGATAACCATGCAAAACACTTGAAACCATGCAAAACACTTGAACATCCGAGACGGAGAAAACATTGAACACATTCAACAAACCGTTCACTGTAAAATCATGTTGCAACTCATAAATGTCGATAACACCAACTAGAACATGGTTCCAACGTTCTCTCACAAATTTACAGTCAACAAACAAGTGCAGTAGAGGTTCATCGAAATTCTGAACACCCACCCTCGATATTAGATATTTTATTTTCAGTGGAATTTCCAAGTTCCAAACAGAGTCCAATAACGTTTTGTCACGCCTCGACTCTAAACACCAGCTTGCAGGTAAGTGCTTGCTCTCGGGGTCAACGGATGTGTGCTCGCCTTCGTCCATGAGGCTTCGTGGGCTTCAGAGGGGTCAGGGCCCAGTTCAAGCCCACTTGACTTGTGCAATCTGGCCTGGCCCACTTGATAGAGTGGCGGTTAGTTGGGATGACTGCTATTTCATCCCATAAAACCCATAAAAACCCAGATTAAGGCCTCCATAAGATTTTGGGCAACACATAACTTCCCATCTTAGCCATATAATACCTCTAGAGTCATTCCATCCATTGCCACATAAAAAGTATTGGAAAGCAAGAAGATACTCATTGTATAGGTCGAAACGAATTAGATGACAGATTTTATTTTTGTGGAGTCTCTCCAACATATGGGACCCACATGCATTTGAAAAGAAAAAAAAGAGAAAATGAGTGGTGTTGTGAGTCACTCCGACATGTAGAATCCACAAAAAGTTTGAACAAAGAAAAAACAAGGAACACGTTTTTGTTGTTCAAAAGAGGCAGCAAAATTAAAAAAGAGTACGCGTTCCTTTTTCAACAAAAATTGGTGGATGCGTTGATTAAAACGCATCCCCTTCTCCTATTTTATAGGAGAAGGTTTCCTTAATGAAAACGTACAAAAACAAAAGCATAAAATACATAGAGTGTATAGAATTTTAGGAAAGGATTCCTAAAATTAGGAAGGAGAGAAAATAGCTTTTTTTCTAAAATAGCTTTTTTCTCTAAAATAGCTTCTTTTATTTTTGGCTTTTTTTTGTTCTCAAACTTTTATTTAAGAAAGATATGGATATTTATTACTTTCATTGATTCAATATATAATAAAACATTTGAGGTATTTGCATAGGTATCAACGAAGCAATTAATTTTTTTGTAAATTTTAATAAATTTTTTTTTTCTTTTAACAGGAAAGGGGGAGCAAAAAGAAGAGGTCACGGACTGGGGACATTCCCAATTGTTGTGGATGGACCTTTTGGTGTAGTTTCTGCGGCAGAGTTTATACCTTTTGGTGTAGTTTCTGCGGCAGAGTTTATTGGGATTCTAGTCTTTCTCGGATATATCGCGTGGGTTGCTTGCATTTACGCTGTGCAGAAGATCAGTGTCATTTTTACGAATCCTGAGTATACTATTGGAGACAAATGGTACAGTTTTGTCTTTTTCTTTTTAATGCTATTTTATTTTATATATATAATTTATTTTAGTAAAGAAATTAATTTCGTTTCGACTATATGTTAGTCTAATCATTATGCTACGTCTTAGTAAACATTAATTATTTATTGACCTTATCTTTGTGGTTTTTATTTTGTAATATTGTATTATTTTCGTTGTGGCCTACCTAACTAATTGCCAGTCCAAGGCAAGTAGATTAGTCGGCAGTTGCCATTCCCTTAGTTATAGCTAACAAACTTGGAGTTGGAGTAAAATATATCCAACTAACCAGAAAAAAAAGGGAAAAAAAAAAAATTACTTAAACTTCGAGTTCTAATTGATAATTGAGGGATAAAATGGAATGGCAGGGATGTTTTCTCCCTTAACTAGAAATTTCGAGTTCGAGCCCTCAATATGAAATCCTTTTAAACACTCGAAAATAGAGTGCTTTGCTTTTTTTTGTGGACTTGTCCATTGTGAATCTAAATTAATCGGACAAGTGGATTTTAAAAACCAAATGTTTAAAAAAACAAATGTTTAAAAAAAAAGTAAAAAATGATAAACCAATGTCATAGGTAAGAATTTCCGTGACAAGAAATACACTAAAATCGTGTTAGATTTTTAAAAATAATTGCAAATTTCGGGTTGTATCGAATTAAAATTGTGTTAGATTTTTAAAAAAATTATTGAGTTTGATGGAAATAAAAGGGTGTGCTCACTTGTAGAAAACTACTCCAGTTTTTTAGAAAAGTTTTCTAAGAAAACTGAAAAATATAATTTTGTATTCAAATCACTCAATTTTCTATTTGGAAAACCAGAAAACAGTTTTCTATTTTTCAAAATTTTAACTAAGATTTGAAATTTTCAGAGTTTTTCTTTATAACAAAAGACATGTTTTCCAATTTTTTAAAATGAGATTTTCATAATTAAAATTATAATATTTATAAATAATTTTTTATTTATTGTATTTTTATTAAATATTTTAATATTAATGCCTTAATAAATAATTAATTTTATTATTATAAATATATTATATCCTTTAATTTTTAAAAAATTTTACCAAATGGTACAAAAATGATATTATTATTATAATAATAAATATAATATTTAAAACTTTACATAACAAATTTCCTAAAATTTATTTTATAATATTTTATTCTTTACTTATAAATTATAAATAAATGTTTGTGAAGTTAAATTAAAAATAATTACTATTTTTTATAAACTAAGGGAAAGCATTTTCTATTTTCATTTTCATTTCTAAGAAAACTGTTTTCCCCTTAAACACAAGAAAAAAAAAATATTTTCTGTAAGTAAATGTATCAAGGATTTCATAAGATTTCCACATATTCCACTAGAATTCGATGTAAAGTTTTATAGAATTGGTGAGACTTTTTTTTATAGATTTTAATTGACTTTGATGGAATCATAATGATTTTTATATATACAATCAAAATTAATTTCATGACATAATTGAATAAATTAAAAGGTTTCTAATTGAAAAATTAAAAAACGATGAGGGACAAAAAGATGTGCCATATTCTCCAAAATCGTTTTTTCTTTTTTTTGTTAAAATCTTACTGTCATGAACAGTAAAAGACCTGCAATGGCCATCATCATCGTTGCCCATCCTGCCCTCCTAGAACAGTCGCGATGTGGTTGGAAGATCACGGGCTTCTTATCCCTTAACTGAACAGTTTCAACGAAATGCTTCCCTTGCGGAGTGGTAGAGTTGGTTCTGTCAGCTCCTACTACTACAGGTCTAATTAACTATAATGCTCTTGGCTCTCTTTTCCTTGGCATTCCCCAATTATCTTTGCTCCAATCGCATCCTTTCAGTGTGTCGTCTAGTCCTCTGGATGGTAAAAATCGCATATCTCTTCTCATCAAAGCTGCTGGAGACTGGACAAATGGACTTAAACAGATTTTTATGAAATCCACTTGAATAGAATAATAAATTCGGTTCAAATTGAATAAACCGTCAATTAACCTTTTCTTGATTTAGCTGATCGAATCGAACCTAAATGAGTCAGTTCAGTTTTCAGTTTGGTTTGTTCGGTAAGTTTGCACACCCCTAGCAACTGTCTCGCTGGAAAGCAATACAACAAAATGTTAATAGACTCCAAAAAAAAATCTAGATTAAACACTATTTGAATTTAAGATATTTTAGAATCTAATAGAGTCTTAATAGAATACACCTTTGATTTAAACTGGTCCTTGGACCCTAAACAGGAGAAGATCCTCCTTTTAGCTTGAGGGATCCAAGAAATTTAAAAGAAAATTTTCATTATAAAAAGTTATATTTTCATTAATAATTATATTCCTCACTAAAATAAAATAACTTTGCGGGATTTAATTATAACGCTGCATTTTAGCGAATGATATATTTATTATTAAAATGTGAAAGTGTAGAGTTATGATGAGTTTCCTATGAAATTCAAGAGGCTACAAAGATAATAGCTAAAAATACATAATCAAAATTATGCATTGGACCATAATTTAATACTATTTACAAATGATTATTTCCACAATTTTTTAAAAATGATTTTACAGTTATTGGAAATTTAAGAATTGATGTTTATTTATTTTTTTTTTACAGTTATTGGAAATTTAAGAATTGATGTTTATTTATTTTTTATTTTTTATGTCAACCTTGATTTCTTTACCTTCTTTGTTACTATTAATTATAATCTTCTACGGGGAGACATTAATAATCTGAAGTAATTTCTAAATAAAAAAAAAAAAATAATAATGCAACTACAACAAACGGAGCCTCCATGACATTCATTTTTCTTTCTCCAAATAATATTGTTTTTTAAATATAAAAATCATACTTGTCTTTTTTAGTACAAATCGGTGAGTTGCTTTAACTACGTTTACCAAATAATACTAATTTATAGTGATATATATAGCAATAGATTTTTTTTTTTTTTTTTTTTTTTTTTTTTTTTTTCTGAGGAGCAATTGGTTTTGTTTATTAGGTCATGGACGTTTCGAATGTCGGCACGTGGATTTGGATTGGCAGGGATATTCTGCTTGTCATCATTTCTGTTTATTCCGGTGGCGAGAAGCTCGCTTCTCCTCTGCCTTGTAAATATCCCAACGGAGCATGCCATTAGATACCACATATGGCTTGGCCATCTCTGTATGCTTCTCTTTACTTTCCATGGTCTCTTTTACGTAATTGGATGGTTCGTGTCTGGAAAAATTCCCTCTGCAGTGAGTATTTTTATATTATATTGGCTTATTGTTTAAATTTATTCAGCATTGTAAACTAGCTAACCGAGTTAAGTTTTATTGAACTCAAATTTGGCTCATTAAAAATATTATAAAGATTTTTAAAAAACTAGACACTAAGTTCAATTCATTGTATATGAGCTAAGTTCTGAAATTACCACATTTACAGTTTATGGTTAAAATATATATATATATATATATTGTGACTTGTTTATTTTATTATAAATTCGAACTCGAACTATGGTTCACAAGCTTCGTTTCATAGTTCGGCTCGGCTTATTAATTAAATGATTTTGGTAAGTAGGCTTGAACTCAATTCTTAAAACTTATCGAATGAGCCGAGCTTCGAGTAGTTTATCACGAGTGACTTGACACGTTTATATTAATAAATTGATATTCTGAACCTAGTTGTGCATATGCATATGCAGCTAATAGCATGGGATGCTACAGATGGAGCAAAACATTAGCTTTCTTTTATAACCAAACCTACAACCCTCATAACTCAATCTCACCGATGTGGGATTGAGCAAATACATTTTTTAATATTTTTTTCCTTTTATTTTCAACAAAAGTGGCTAACATCGAGCTCTTTTACTACGCTCACCATCTCTATATTATATTCATTATATTCTTGGCAATGCATGTCGGCAACTTTTTTATGTGCATACCAGCCGGAGCCATATTTCTTTTCATGGTTGATCGTTTTCTCAGATTTTGCAATTCTCAGAAAACTGTTGACGTCGTTTCAACGAAATGCTTCCCTTGCGGAGTGGTAGAGTTGGTTCTGTCAGCTCCTACTACTACAGGTCTAATTAACTATAATGCTATAATGCTCTTGGGCTCTCTTTTCCTTGGCATTCCCTTGGCATTCCCCAATTATCTTTGCTCCAATCGCATCCTTTCAGTGTGTCGTCTAGTCCTCTGGATGGTAAAAATCGCATATCTCTTCTCATCAAAGCTGCTGGAGACTGGACAAATGGACTTAAAGACAATGTTGAGACTAATAATAAGATTAGAGCTTCTGTTGAAGGGCCTTATGGTAATCGGTTACCATACCACTTGATGTATGTACTCGTTTTTTACTTAAGATGCTACGTCTAATGAATAAGGAGAATAATGCTTAATTTGCCTTTGAACTTCACACATAATGTACAATTTATTTGAAATTGATCAATTTTAATAGGAATTTTGAACTAGGAGACTAAATAAATATATTTTTTGACTGAATTTTTTTTGACATGAAATGAGTGTGTTGGTTAAGTCACTGAGCAAAAAATGAAAAAATGCGTGTAGAATTGAGAGAAAAACCATGTAATTATTATTATTATTTTCCAATAATTGTCCTTTCACATATTTAGCGGGTCAAAAAATGGATCAAATTCAATCTTGGATTGAAATTCTTATTAAATTGATTAAAAACTCCAATGTTTGGAGTACATTGAAATCATGAATGTTGTTGGGGCGTATTGAAGCAATTATTTGAACAAATAATAATGGACTAACTAAGTTTTTGTATTTTCATAGGTAGAAATCTTGTTTTAGTAAGCAGGGTGGAATTGGGATATCGCCATTCATTGCCCGTTCTGAAGTGATGTTTTCATCGTATTAAATCAAGGAAAGACAATGTCTTCCGAAGAAACATTACTTCCGAGAAACATTACTCTTGTTTGGGCTGTGAAAAAGTCAGATGAGCTTTCTCTTCTTTCCACAATTAACACGAACTCACTTGTTCCTTTACCTTTTGATGTGCTTCATCTCGAGATACTTATTTATGTCACTCGAGAACAAGAATCTCCAATGGTAAGTTTCATATTAAATTATTCTTGCTGCTAATTTTCTTCTACAAGAAAATAATTTCTTTCAAATTCAGTAATTAGCTCGATCGATAACAAATTATTGTCAATTTCAGGAAATCGGAGCATTGTACGAGACTGTGAGATCTGCCTCTTCTATCTCTTCTTTCTCCAGTGGGAATGCCATATCTGCTCTAGTTAGCACAGGGAATAAAACATGGTTTGGAGCTTATGTGATATCCTCAACAGTTGGCTTGGTCCTGTTAACGACTTTACTAAATGTCTTTTATATAACCCCATTTAATATAACTAATTGGTGGCATCAAGGATTGCTTCTTCTAGCCTGCATGGTTGGCGGTGTTGTAATCTTTGGTGGTGCTGTGGTTGCTTTATGGCATATCTGGGAGAAGAGAAACTTAGTAAAGATCAATGGCGGACAGGGAAATGAACACACAGTAAACGAGGATTCATTTTTGGCGAAAATCTTGCCGCTCAACTACGGTTCAGTATGGATCAAGACCAGACTTTAAACGGTACATTTAAATTCATATGACTTAAATCACAGTGAACTAAAGTAAAATAACTGAAATGTCAATAATGACCTTCTCTCGCCTGCAGAAATTTTTGGATCCAGATCTAGGCTCGGGGCGATGTTGATTTGATGTGGGAGTGATAGTATGTGGTCCTCCAAATCTGGAGTCAAGTGTTGCTGCAGAATGCAGATCAATTAACATGTGCAGAAAATCCGATGATCCGGTTTTCCATTTCAACAGTCACTCTTTCAGTTTTTAGTTTCTATTTCCTATTTTGTTGGGACTACAAACATCCATGTCTCTTTTTAGCAATAATGTCTGATAAATGAATCTAAGTGCCCAATAATGTCTGATAAATGAATCTAAGTGCAGATGAAAGCAAAACCTATAGTTTATGAAAGAATACTCACAGAATGCAGCATTACTTGAAACTTCTTATACTCGCATAAGTTACTGTCACCTGAGTAAGAGGAGTACATAAACTGAAAGCGGAATCAGGAAGCCATCTTATACTCGCATAAGTTACTGTCACCTGAGTAAGAGGAGTACATAAACTGAAAGCGGAATCAGGAAGCCATTCTACCGATGAAGTCTCAAGATGTTGTCAAACAAGCTTATATTAGTATACAAAAAGCAGGTTGTTAGTTATGCTAATTTAGTTAGTTACGTAGCAGCAGAACTATCTCCTTGCCCTCACTTTCAAGAATGAAGTTTGCTTACCTGTAAACTTTTAGTTGCCATCTCCAATTTCACTTGCTAATATAGATGTTGCGACTTCAAAAGCACTATTTCTATTTACAAGTGGCCTACCTCTGTTACCTTGCTTACCGCAAGGCAAATCCACAACCGACTTTCACTTTCACTCTTGAACTTGAGTCTTATTAAGAGTCTTTTCCCTTCCCAATTTTATTTCCCACTAACAACAAATAAATCAGGTAGAAAAATGTAGAGAAATGAAAATTTGAAAATATTAACCGTTAACTTGTAAGTAAGATCTCTAAGGTTTAGGGTAGAAACCTTAATTCCAGTCCGCCCATCAAAAGAAGTTCCGTATCTACTTAATTGATTTTAACATGTTGCACAATGTATAGCAGGTTCTCAGATGAATGAGATGGTGATTGCTGAAATTTGTTCTCAATCCCGAATTTTTACAAAGAGCTTGGACAGTCAATCAACAATGTTTAGTTTGATTGACAACCGCCATGACCGAGTTACTTACTAGCATTCACCAGAACTCCCTACAAGAACAACATCCATCCTTAAAATGATGAAATCTGTTTACATCCCTAACAATAATGTCCCTCTTTGTAATGCTTGATGCAAGCTTCATAAAAGAATGACAATCCCCACAGATCCGGAATTTTTCGGAAAAATTTTTAAGTCACAGTTTGAGGATCCACAAGAATTGATATATAAGAGTGCATGATGTATATTAGATTAAGTTTATGATCTTAGCATGTTTAGTCATGTGCCTCTGGCTCAAAATTGACATCCGTTGTCTAATCTTTTAGGACTAAATAATGAGTGTTACATATATAATATGTTGGACCTACTCATTTCTATGAGTGTCAATGTGTTTATTCTAATTCTCCAATCAGGTAAAATAAAACTTACCACCTTCATCTTCATTAATACATCATACTGATAATGAAAAAACAAATAGATGTAATGATCTTCTAAATAAAATGTACCAAATGAAAGTTCCTCCGACCATAAACAGTTTAAAGTATTTGTACTAGAGAGTTTGTCCCTCATATTCACTGAAAGAAGATGTATTTCGTATCTCATATTGTACAATGACTTTCCTATATATAGTCACATGTGTCCCGTAAGATGCCAAAATTGATCTCCACATGGAAGCTGTAGCAGCAAATGGCAAATTCTTTATCAACTCATGAGCTTCGTGTATTAAACCTGCCCTAGCAAGAATATCAATCATGCATGCGTAGTGAAGGACATTTGGCGACACATTGTCCTCTCCTGTCATAAGCTTGAAATAGCTCCGTCCCATATCAACGAGACCCTTATGACTGCATGCTGACAATAGTGAAACATAGGTCATTTCGTCTGGGCACAAACCTACCTGCTGCATTTTTTCAAACAAAATCATTACTTCCCAAGAGTAAGAATTCTTAGCAAACCCAGAAATCGTTACATTCCATAAAACAATATTCTTCCCTTGAGCATCCAAGAATGCAATATAAGACTCTTTTACAACACAACACCCCATTAGCATACACGTCAAAACCAAGAGAAGAAGCCAACAAAATTGTTAGGAACCAAACCCAGTTTTAAAAAACAATAGAATGCACCTGTTCTTCCTTCAATTAGGGCTGCCAAACCTGCAAAAGCACAAATAACAGATGAACATTGTGAACTGGTATATTCTATCCCAGTTGCTTGAGCTCTGCGTAAAAAATTCCAAGCCTCCTCATAAAGCTGATTTTGCACAACCCCGCCACCATTGAACTCCACGTTAACAACACTCTTATCTTGACATCGCTCAAAAAACATAGTATAGCAATCCTGGCATAAAAAAACCACTTTTTGGCATAAATATCAAAACTAATGCAGTTACCCACGAAAACATCTGCATCAATTTGCCCCTTCGTCGCAAATGCATTAATTGCTTACACGCAAAAAGCATTGCTTCTTGCCAGCCACACATTTGGCACCAAATCAATGGACAGTCAAAGAATATTTTAAAATTGTTCTGACTTTACCTTTTGTTCCTAGTGTATGATCAGAAATACGTTTCATTTCAATAAGAAACGGTTTATTCTCATTGATTTGGTCTATGAATTAAATTATAGACCCAATTTTAGATAAAATTTTCCCTCCACCCGAAATTAAAGAGTATGCAATAATTTAACATAGAGTTCATTGTCTGGCCATTTGGAAAATTTATTGACATAGATTTATTTATTAAAGAGATGATAGCATTGGCAATATATGAAATCTCATTTAAATCTATTCTTATGATAATATTGGAGTTTGAATGTATGAGCGATGATGCTGAAATGTAGAAGAGTTTTGGCTATCAAGATTTTAATTTGGGACTATTGTAACGTAAGGAAAGCTATTATAGTTTTTCTGTAGAATTTTTCGAAAAATTTTTAAGTCACACTTTGAGGATCCATAAGAATTGATATATAAGAGTGTATGATGTATCTTATATTAATTTTATGATCTTAGCATGTTTAGTCATGTGCCTCTAGCACAACATTGACATCCATTGTCTAATCTTTTATGACCGAATAATGAGTGTTACAGATATAACATTACATGTTTGACGTACTCATTTCTCCAATCAGGTAAGATAAAACTTACCACCTCCATCTTCATTAATACATCATACTCATCATGAGAAAACAAATAGATGTGATGATCTGATAAAATGTACCAAATGAAAGTTCCTGCGACCATAAACCTTTTAAAGTATTTGTACTAGAGAGTTTGTCCCTCATATTCACAATACTGGTAAATATATTCTCTAACAAGCTACTTAAGATTTATATTCAATAAAATAATTACTTTATTGAAGTGAATATATTAGCATTTCCATTAACAGGACAATATTTACAAGTCAAATCCATAAATTGACACTTGCATTTTATCAAAAAAAAAAAAAAAAAAAAAAAAAAAAAAAAAAAAAAAGTGTAGCGCTTAAAACTTTCGACGGACTTATTATGCTCCTGAAATTATGAATTTGATAGCATTGTATCATTCTCTGTACTAGTAATAACCATTTTTTTCGTGTTTTGACATTTATATGCAAAATATATACTTGAGGCGGTATAAGTATAATTTTTGAAACAATAATTTTTCACATTTTTCAAATATTTAATAAGTATTTAATTGATCTAATTTGTATTTAATTGATCTAATTTTATAAGATTGAATGTTCAATAAAATAATTTTTGCAAGTTGAAGTACTTAATAGATATAATTTTATAAATTAAAGTGTTCAATAAATCAATATAAAAATTAAGGGCGCCACAAAATTTTTTACATAAAAATATATAAGTGAATTTATCCATTTGCCAACAATTACACTATATATAAAATATATGGCTTTAGGGTAATGCCCTATCCTTAAGCCTATATGTCCAATGATTATTCGTCTTTTAAACTCATATTCGCAAAATTTTATACTATTATTGAGTATGTTCTTACTTCCCTATTTTTATGGCATTAATTCTAATTGAGAACTTTAATATAATATATTATTTAAAAGTTTAATTTAATTGCTTAGTTTAATTTTTAATTTTTTTACTGAAAAATAAAAATAGTTTAATTTTAATTGATTATGTTAATTTTCTACTTTAATCTAAATTCTATTAGGAAGTTTAATCTAATATATTATTTAAAGTTTTAATTAATTGGTTAGTTTCATTTTTCATTATGTAATTAAATACTATATTTTAATATATTTATTTTATATATTAAAGTATTTGGAATTTCTTATCATATAATATTTATTTTGTTAAACTAGCCGTTTGTTGCCGTGAAGATTTGAGTTATGAATTTTTTTTTTTCTCTAAGCATAACTAGAATATATCAATTGCATATATAAATTCTATTTTCAGGATAGACCAATACATAATGAAGCTACATAATTTCAGAAGTTATGCCTTTGTTTTTTTGAAAAAAAAAAAGATTTATTGTACAAGTAAAATATTGATGTATAACAAAAGGAATAAAGGTCAATCTGATTTCTGAACTTGTTTAGCAGAATAAAAAAAGGTCAGATTTGACTTTTTATGCCAATTTAGCCCTTGAACTTGTATAAAATAATTAAAAACATTCGATTTCACTTTTTAGGCTAATTTAACCCCTTATTTAAAATGATTTAAAAAATCATAATTGACATTTTGAGTCAATTTAACCTCTAATTCATCATTGTACTTATAACATGAAAAATCATTATAATTAAAAAATCATACTTGATATTTTGAGTCAATTCAACTTCTAATTATTCATTGTACTTACAATGT